TATAAAGCCACAGCAGAACTGTTGTGCATCTCCGCGCAACACTTTCTGAATGAATCCTCGTGAACCAATGATTCAATAGCCTATTCATAAAGTGAACATAAAGACATTTACCGCCACCTGCTGGTAGTTTTAGTTTATTCTTTAGAGTATCATTTCATTTATTTAAAAAAAAAAAAAAAAACATTAAAGCGGTAGTTTACCAAAAATAAATAAATAAATAAATACATTTTGTCATCGTTTACTCACCCTCATGTTGTTTCAAACCTGAATGACTTTCTTTTGCACAACATAAAAGAAGGTATTTTGAAGACTGTTGGTAACTAAGCTGTTTGGTCACTAGTGACTTACATTGCATGAACAAAAAATACTGAGATGTTTCTCGAATTATCTTCTTTTATGTTCCATACTTTATGTTTGGCCATTGTAGCCTAAACATTTAACACAATAATAGCTTTAAATGATCTTTTGGGGGTATTTTACACAGCCAAATTTAGCTTGCGATTAATTAGATTAATTAATTAGATTAAAAATTTTAATCGACTGACAGCCCTAATATATATATCTATAATATATAGTTTTATATTTCTCCATTGTTTTTCATGTGATTGTCATTTGCAGTGCATCATGGGATTGCAGTTCTTTCCCTCACTAAAGCCGTTGAGTTCACAGTCTCCTATCTTTGTCTTTTTTGTTTGATGTTCAAGTAGTTTTCTGCTTCAAATGAAAGTTTGTAATGTTGTGTTTCTCCTCAGCTGGTTGCTTTGGTTTGTAGCTTTTAGCGCTTTAACCAAGACTTTTTTAAAAATTTCTATGAGAAAAATAAATGGGAGAACTTACATAACCTAATGCACCCTATTAAACACAATTATTTAAAAAAAATCAATTGAATTAATTCAAACAGATGCTTCAACAAAGGAGTAGACCACTGATTAACAACCTCAGAGCTCACAACAATTCTGTCTTTAACATTTTATCAGGTATTGTTAAAAATCAGTTTCCCTGAGAAAATGAATGACATTTTTTACTTCTCATTGGGATGCATTTCATATCATCTCATAACTCTTTCCTCTCATAAAAGGCTTTTACAGCTCAGAAGAATGAAGGTGCTGCAATCTTTACGTTCACAGGAAAAAGATAAAACAGTCATCAGTGTTTTACTGCGCTGACATGAATCATTCTGACAGAATTACTTCATTAATGTTGAATTAAAGTGTTTTCATCTCATGATTTTCTCAGTTTTCATTTATAAGGCCGTCAGAGTATCTAAACAATCATGATGTGTTTTTAACAGGCAACGTGGCTTCATCAGTAATTTCTTCTAATTATATGTATTATTATGCATGTTTTCTATCTATCTAACTGTCTATCTATCTATCTATCTATCTATCGTTCTATCTATCGTTCTATCGTTCTATCTATGCATCATACATCCATCTTTAGGCATTTACGCATATTAAATAAAACTACATTTACTGCAAAACAGATAATTTTCTTAATGCAAAATACGATTTTTAAAATATATTAAGTATAATTGATGTTATTATTCAGTTTCATTGTATATATTTTTTTATCTCTTTTTATCTGTTTACTAACTTGTGCATTTGATGAACTTTGATTCGACTTATTTTGTAACAAGAAAAGTAGTGCAGCTATTAACTTTAACACCTAATTGTGTGTGTGTGTGAGTGTGTGTGTGTGTGTGTGTGTGTGTGTGAGAGAGTGTGTGTGTGTGTGTTTGTTTGTGAGAGAGAGTGTGTGTGTGTGTGTGTGTGTGAGTGTGTGTGTGACTGTCAGCGGTCACTGCTGCAGGTTTTGTTGTGCTTCAGTGAAATGAGCTCTGATGTGATGTGAAGTGATTCAGTGGTCGACTTTGGAGTCTGCACTAGAGTAGGGGGCGTGCCAAGAGCCTCTGCCTCTGCTGTGAGTGTGCGTGTGTGTGTGTGTGTTTAGGGGGGTGTCCTATGGAGAGCCAAGGAGCTAAAAAAAAGCCCGTTGGCACCGATCCGTGCGGCGCGCACACATTGAGCACAGAGAGCCACGGCTCCGTGCGCGACATGAGCGGATCCGTGCGGGTGTTTTAACGGCATGACGGCGGATCGGAGGAGCTGCAGCTGAAGGAGGAGAGCCGGTAGAGACGCTCCAGCCCCGGAGAACCGAAGAGAGGAGCGGCGGAGAGCGAGAGGCAGAGCGCCGGGGAATCATGCGGGGTCCTGCGCTCCGGCTGCTGGGTCTCGTGTGGCACCTCTCCGCGCTTTTACGCACCGCGCAAACGTACAAACTCCACCACAAACAAGGTAAGACACGCACAAAATACACCACAAACCGGACAAGACACCGGTCAGTCTCATCTGCACCATAACGATTAGCTTATATACACGCTTTTGGAAGTTTGCTTTAGTTTCTATGACATTATAAAGCGGTTTGTTGGTTTTGCATCGAAACAGACTAGCGTTATGTTTAAATTAATTATATATTGTGTAAATGTGTGTGCTTTGCATTCTACATGTTGTCACTTTAAGTGACACTAAGGTTGGAAACTGTATGGAGTGTATTATGCACCTCTCTAGTGTTTAGCTTATATACAGAGGCCAAAAACTATCTAGAGACTATGAAAAAGTATATAGAAACTTAAATTACACTTTGCATGTCATTGCATTGGATGATAAATTTCAAAGCAAGTGCAATTTATCATAAGAAAGACGCATGAACACACTTCTGACAGAGAGAAGTTTGTATGTTTGAAATGCTATATCAATAGATGTGGTTTTTCAGTGTTTGTTTGTGGTTAGCTAGTGGATGATGTTGGTAGTTGATGTGATTCTCTACACCTGTGGTTCCTCTGCACCTGCGTGAGGAACCTGAGGAGAACTGACTCTATACATCCACTAAAACTCACCAAAACACCAGCTGACTTGATCTGATGAATCACATTCACGCATTTAGAAAAATGACCTGTATCTGTGACCCTGGAGCACAAAACCAGTCATGATGGTCAACTTTTGGAAATTGAGATTTATGAAATCTGAATAAATAAGCTTTCCATTGATGTATGGTTTGTTAGGATAGGACAATATTTGGCCGAGATACAACTATTTGAACTGATTTGATATGAAATATCTGAAACGTCTCCCACACTTCATGTGATTTCAGAGAGCTTCATCAGACAGCTGTCAGCATATGAGATCATCACCCCGGTGCGCTTGAATGATTTTGGAGAGTCGTTCCCGCACCGGCTGCATTACCGCAGGAGGAGGCGCAGCGCTGACGCGGAGGTCTCGGGTTCGAGGGCTCATTACCGGTTCGAGGCGTTCGGTCAGGCGTTTCACCTGAACCTCACGGCTGATTCTGGATTCATTGCTCCGTCTTACACGGTGCTTCATCTGGGAGAGGAAGAGAAGCGTGGAGACGCCGCAGACCTGCGCCACTGTTTCTTCAGAGGACATGTCAACGATCGCAGGGAACACCACGCCATCTTTAGCCTCTGCACTGGACTAGTGAGTATAAGAGTGTGCTGGTTAAAGATCTGGACTGGTAACTGGTGAAGCTGCTTCCATTCTTGGTAGTTTTCAGAGTGGGGGAAAGTTACTTTAAAAAGTAATCCATTACAATATTGCAATATTCCATTCACACAAAAAAATTGGTTCTTCAGCGGTTCTTTGTGGTAGTTGAGGTGCTATATAGCACCGCTAAGTGGTTCTTTGGCTTGTAATCATAGGGGAACCAATGTAAGTGCAATATAGCACCTATAAAGAACCTGTAATGGTTATTAAGCGGTTCTTTGGGGTGGTTAAGGTGCTATATAGCACTATCTTTAAAGTTATAGGTGCTATGTAGCACTTAAAGTGGTTCCCCTATGATTACGAGCCAAAGAACCACATTTAGTGCTATTTAGCACCATTTTTTTAGAGTGTACAATATTGCGTTACTCCATAAAAAACTGGAAAGACTATGAGTATAAGAGTGTGCTGGTCAGTGTTGGAGGTAATGCATTACAAGTAACACGAGTTACGTGATCAGATTACTTTCTTCAAGTAACTAGTAAAGTAACGCATTACTTTTAAATGAACAAGAAAATTTCTGAGTTACTTTCAAATAAGTAACATGTTACTTTGTTTTCCCATTTATTCACTGACACCTTTCCTTTCCCCGTGTTGAGAGAAATTGGAAGTAAGTGCAGAGGCATTTTCTTCAGCCTGAGGCTTATTAATTTCACTCTTGGTGTGAAAGGGCCTTTACAGTCATTTCTGTTATTAAAAATAAATAAGCAAGCCCAGCCCAGGTGATAAAAAGTAACACAAAAGTAACGTAATGGATTACTTTCCATAAAAAGTAACTAATGCGTTTAGTTACTTTTTTTTATGGAGTAAGCAATATTGTAATGCATTACTTTTAAAAGTAACTTTCCCCAACACTGGTGCTGGTTAAACATCTGGACTGGTAACTGGTGAAGCTGCTTCCATTCTTGGTAGCTTTCAGTGTTGGGGAAACAGCTGTCAGCATATGAGATCATCACCCCGGTGCGCTTGAATGATTTTGGAGAGTCGTTCCCGCACCGGCTGCATTACCGCAGGAGGAGGCGCAGCGCTGACGCGGAGGTCTCGGGTTCGAGGGCTCATTACCGGTTCGAGGCGTTCGGTCAGGCGTTTCACCTGAACCTCACGGCTGATTCTGGATTCATTGCTCCGTCTTACACGGTGCTTCATCTGGGAGAGGAAGAGAAGCGTGGAGACGCCGCAGACCTGCGCCACTGTTTCTTCAGAGGACATGTCAACGATCGCAGGGAACACCACGCCATCTTTAGCCTCTGCACTGGACTAGTGAGTATAAGAGTGTGCTGGTTAAAGATCTGGACTGGTAACTGGTGAAGCTGCTTCCATTCTTGGTAGTTTTCAGAGTGGGGGAAAGTTACTTTAAAAAGTAATCCATTACAATATTGCAATATTCCATTCACACAAAAAAATTGGTTCTTCAGCGGTTCTTTGTGGTAGTTGAGGTGCTATATAGCACCGCTAAGTGGTTCTTTGGCTTGTAATCATAGGGGAACCAATGTAAGTGCAATATAGCACCTATAAAGAACCTGTAATGGTTATTAAGCGGTTCTTTGGGGTGGTTAAGGTGCTATATAGCACTATCTTTAAAGTTATAGGTGCTATGTAGCACTTAAAGTGGTTCCCCTATGATTACGAGCCAAAGAACCACATTTAGTGCTATTTAGCACCATTTTTTTAGAGTGTACAATATTGCGTTACTCCATAAAAAACTGGAAAGACTATGAGTATAAGAGTGTGCTGGTCAGTGTTGGAGGTAATGCATTACAAGTAACACGAGTTACGTGATCAGATTACTTTCTTCAAGTAACTAGTAAAGTAACGCATTACTTTTAAATGAACAAGAAAATTTCTGAGTTACTTTCAAATAAGTAACATGTTACTTTGTTTTCCCATTTATTCACTGACACCTTTCCTTTCCCCGTGTTGAGAGAAATTGGAAGTAAGTGCAGAGTCATTTTCTTCAGCCTGAGGCTTATTAATTTCACTCTTGGTGTGAAAGGGCCTTTACAGTCATTTCTGTTATTAAAAATAAATAAGCAAGCCCAGCCCAGGTGATAAAAAGTAACACAAAAGTAACGTAATGGATTACTTTCCATAAAAAGTAACTAATGCGTTTAGTTACTTTTTTTTATGGAGTAAGCAATATTGTAATGCATTACTTTTAAAAGTAACTTTCCCCAACACTGGTGCTGGTTAAACATCTGGACTGGTAACTGGTGAAGCTGCTTCCATTCTTGGTAGCTTTCAGTGTTGGGGAAAGTTACTTTTAAAAGTAATCCATTACAATATTGCGTTACGCCATGAAAAAGTAACTAATTGCGTTAGTTACTTTTTATGGAACGTAATCCATTACGTTACTTTTGTGTTACTTTTTGTTACCTGGGCTGGGCTTGCCTATTTGTTATATAACCCAAACGTTACATTTTTGGCAACTGTAAGGCCCGAACATCACACCAAATATGAAATTAATAAGCAGGAGAGCAGTCAGTCAATAAATGGGAAAACAAAGTAACTTGGGTTACTTAATTGAAAAAGTAACTCCGATATTTCATTGTAATTTTAAAAGTAATGTGTTACTTTACTAGTTACTGGAAAAAGTACTTGCGCTACTAATATTGTGTCACCCACAACACTGGTAGTTTTTGGGAAGTCAGAGCATTTCCAACTTGTAATTACTAGTTCAACAAAGACATGAGTGGTATTACTAGTGGGAAATGCATAATTATTGTAATTCTGACATGAATGCTGGATTAGTCTTCGGTTTAGTTGAGTTATTCTCCTCTGTTCTACTCGAACACTGTATTAGTGGTAACTAGTAATGTGTAGTGCTTGTTAACTGTTCCATTTTGGTTGGTTTTTGGGACATCACAGTGGTTAACTGGGATTAGTCAGAGTGTTTCCATCATGTAATTATGAGTTCAACAAAGACATCAGTGGTTTTTACAAGCAGAAATCTCATAATTAGGGTAATTCTGAGATGAACGCAGGACTAGTTCTGGTTACACTTTATTTCGATAGTCCACTTTAGACATTCTATTAACTATAAGTAACTTTGTAACTACATGTCAAGTCAAGTCAAGTCTAGTTTATTTGTACAGCGCTTTCTCT